CCCCCTCCCCTAATCACCTCTCCCCCTTCCCTAACCAACTAACCCTAGCCACCTACCCCTCCCCCAAACCATCTAACCCCCCTCCCCCAACTATCTCTACCCCTCCAATAACCATCCTCCCCGTCCCCCACAACCATCCATCCCCTCTCCTCCTAACCATCTATTCTCCTCCCCCTAACCACCTGTCCCCCCTTCTGTGGAGCAACGGGGGAACCTAGAACCAGGATGAGGACAAGGGGCTCCAAGGACGAATCTGGGAGGGAGGAATGGGAGGCAGAGCTCAAAAAAATGGAGGAAGAGTGGGGAAGGAGACTAGATGAGCTGGAAAGGAAGATGGAACAGACGTTAGCAGAAGAATGCAGAAGGTGGAAGCAACAGGCCACAGCAGCAGAAATCAAGATAGAGAGATTAGAAGAGGAGCCGAGACATCTGAAACAGCACAGAGACAAAGATATTACAGAAGTAGCATCGGCAATGGCTACATCAGACACAGACAAGAGGTCTGAAGGAAGCATGGAAACTAAACTGTATGCAGAGGTTCTGTCAAACCCATATTGGGCCAAAACAAAGACAGGGAGCACACTAGGACAGAATGAGAGGTTGGAAGACATTGAAGGAACTAGGACATGTGCAGGGACCATACCAGATACTTGTGGGGGCCAGGAACAGGTGAGCAGGAAGGACAAACCAAGAAGCATAGGGGCCATAACTAGGGAAGGGACTGAAGGAAGGAACACTCCACGGGAAGGAACTAAAACACATCAGAGGATGCAATGGGAGTCACAGTGGGAGGTGGAAAGGGAGAGATCCGTGTTTGTCTATGGGCTAGACAAAGCTAAAGGGGAAACTTATGATGAAAGGAAGCAGGAGGAGAAAAAAGCAATTGAAGATATCATGAAGGTGATAGGCGAGGGGGACATGACCCAGGTGGCAAATTTTCGGAGAATTGGGTGGTTCACAAAGAAAAGGAATCGGCCTCTCAAAGTAATTTTCAAGGCAGAATCAACCCGAACCATGATCCTGCAGGAGAAAGCACGGCTGAGAGGCAAGCAGGAGTTCCAGAGTGTGTACCTCGATCGAGACAGAACACAGGACGAAAGGAAGACGAAAGAGAGAGTTCAAAAACGAAAGGAGAAATGGGAGGAAATGAAAAAGGAGAGCAGAATAACCCAGGATCAAATGGAAGGACAAGCACACCCCCCAGAAACACCTGCAGAAGGACTCCAGCCACGACACCCCCAAGGCAACTGAACAATCCAAACCAACCATCACACACCGATCCCTCTGTTTCCACCCCCGCACCACAGTTACAGTATTAGAACAGAAGTTGAAGGTTTGGTACACAAATGCAGATGATTAACGAATAACATGAGGAATGGCAAGAAAGAATCAATGAGAATCCCCCGACATCATAGCAGTTACAGAAACAAAACTCACGGAGACAATAACAGATGCAATCTTCCCACCAGGATACCAGATCATGAGGAAAGATAGAAAGGGCAGGGGGGGAGGTGGGGTTGCTCTGCTCGTAAAAAACAGATGGAAATTCGAGAAAATGGAAGGCATAGATGAGACGGGAGAAAGAGACTACATAGTAGGTACACTTCAGTCTGGGGAACACAAAAATGGTCATTGCAGTGATGTATAATCCACCACAGAACTGCAGGAGGCCAAGAGAGGAATATGAAGAGAGCAACAGAGCAATGGTGGACACACTTGCTGAGGTGGCAAGAAGAGCTCTCTCCAGCAGAGCAAAGTTGCTGGTTATGGGGGATTTCAACCACAGGGAGATTGACTGGGAAAACCTGGAGCCACATGGGGGTCCCGAAACATGGAGAGCCAGGATGTTGGACATGGTGCTGGAAAACCTCATGCACCAACATGTTAAGGACACTACCAGAGTGAGAGGGGAGGATGAACCAGCAAGACTGGACCTTGTGTTAACCCTGGGCAGCTCAGACATTGAGGACATCAAGTATGAGAGTCCCCTAGGAGCTCGCGACCACATGGTTCTGTGCTTTGAATACATAGTAGAGCTGAATTCAAGGCCAGCAAAGGCTGGTTTGAAAATTTCAAGAAGTGGCATACAATGTTGTAAGGCACGGTGAGGGTGCCAGTTCAGACAAACAAGAGGCTGAAGAATTTGTTGGGGAATTCAAATGTTATGTAGAGTCTGAAAAATTCCAACCCCAACAAGTGTTCAGTTGTGACACAACAGGCCTCTTTTGGAAGAAAATGCCAAAGAGGACCTGCATCACGCAGGAGGAAACGGCACTCCCAGGACACAAACCTATGAAAGACAGGCTAACTCTCATGCTCTGTGGTATTGCTTGTTGGGATTTCAAAGTGAAGCATTTACTGGTGTATCACTCTGAAAATCCCAGAGTGTTCAAGAAATACAGTGTTGCCAAGAGTAAATTGTGTGTGATGTGGAAGGCTAACAGTAAGGCATGGGTCACAAGGGAAATTTTCCTTGATTGGTTAAATGAAGTGTTTGGCCCGAGTGTGAAGAAATACTTCCTGGAAAAAAAATTGCTACTCAAGTGCCTCCTGGTAATGGACAATGCTCCTGCTCATCCTCCAGACTTGGATGACCAAATGGTCGAGGAGTTTAGTTTCATCACAGTGAAGTTCTTGCTCCCTAATATCACTCCTCTCATCCAGCCCATGGACCAGCAGATCATTTCAAACTTCAAAAAAACTGTACACCAAAGCAATGTTTCAAAGGTGCTTTGATGTGACCTCAGACACTCATTTGACACTAAGAGAGTTCTGGAAAGAGCCCTTCAATATCCTCCATTCAATAGGCCTTATAGATAAGGTTTGGCAGGGAGTGACTTCCAGGACGATGAACTCTGCTTGGAGAAAACTGTGGCCAGATTGTGCCCTCAACAAAGATTTTGAAGGGTTTGAGGCTGACTCTGACAACCCTATGCCAGTTGTGCAATCTATTATGGCATTGGGGAATTCCATGGGGTTGGGTTGGATGTGACTGGCCAGGATGTGGAAGAGTTGGTGGAGGACCACAGTTAAGAGCTAACCACTGAAGAGCTGGAAGACCTTCATCTGCAACAGCAACAGAGCACAGATCAGGAAATTGCTTCAGAGGAGGAGGAAGAGAGATGAAAGAAGGTGCCTTCTTCAAAGCTTAAGGACATTTGTTCAAAGTGGAGTGAGGTGCAAACGTTTATAGAGGAACATCACCCTGACAAAGCTGTTGCAAGCTGTGTTGGCAACATGTTCAATGACAATATCTTGTCCAGTTTGAGGCAGATTTTAAAGAAAGGCCAGAAACAGAACTATCTGGAACAATTCTTTGAGCAGCGGGTACAGTGACTCTCAAGCTTGTCCTAGTGGCATTAAAAAGTAAAGAAGGGAAGTAACCCCAGATAAGGACTTGGTACCTAAAATCTTTATGGAAGGGGATTTCCATTCCGAACAATGGTGTTACTTCTCTTTCCTCTCCCCTCCTGTCTTTCATATACCAGCAAGAGTCTTGAATAAAGGTAAGTGTGATATTCTTTTATACAGTGGACCCCCGCTTTACGATCAGCTCCCAGTGCGACCAATTATGTAAGTGTATTTATGTAAGTGAGTTTGTACGTGTATGTTTGGGGGTCTGAAATGGACTAATCTAATTCACAATATTCCTTATGGGAACAAATTCGTTCAGTAATGGCACCTGAACATACTTCTGGAATGAAATAATATCGTAAACCGGGGGTCCACTGTACTTGATTTCTCATTATTTTCTGTATGTAAATCTATATTTAATCTAACAAAAAAAATCTTTGTTAATACTTTTGGGTGTCTGGAACAGATTAATTGGATTTACATTATTTTTTATGGGAAAAATGGTTTTGACATTCGTGAATTCCGACTTTCGGCAGACTCTCTGGAACGGATTAATCACGAAACTTGAGGGTCCACTGTATATATGTATGGGTTTAAATCAGCTAAAGCTGGTTTTTAAACACAAGCCATGTGTACTGTCCTTTAGACTTACATTCCCCAATTTTACGAAGAGATATTAAGTACAGTGGTACCTTGGGATACGAACTTAATTTGCTCCAAAAGGCTGTTCGAGTGCCGATACTGAACAGATTTGTTCCCATAAGGAATAATGTAAATTAGATTAATCCGTTGCAGACCCCCAAAAATACGCTTACAAAAGCACTTACTTATATACACTTACATAATTTTTTGAGTTTTCAGCTGTTTGTATCCTGAGGTACCACTGTACTTGTTTTCTGATATAATATTGTCAGATCCCCAGAGTTATACAAAATTGTCTCCTCATAATTTTGTTTTTCTTTTGTGTTTTGCTGTAATTATTGCTGCTATATGGTTAATATTGACATTCATAAATATGAATGACCAGAAGAAAACAGAGAGAGATTAAAACAATGGGAAAGCCATTGAACACATTTTGAATGAAATTGTAAGGTTAGCTTTCAATTTAAAGGTTGTATACCAAACCTTCAAAATGAGCACTGCAAAAAAAGAAACTTTTAATAATCGAATCTATTTGCAAATTACCTCAATGAAAATGGATAATCAAATCCCATGAACTAGAAACTGCGAATTTTGGGGTTTAACGATTTGAAAATATTTGGGACAAGCACATGAGAACAAGGAATACCTTGAACACACATTAAAAGCCTGTTGGGAAGTAAAGAAATTATTCAAGTTATTTGAAGGTGGATAAAAATTTTCAGTCGAATATCTATCCTCCATATTAAAATTATTGACCAAATAAGAATTTATCTTCAGGTGAGCCCTTGTTTAGTTCAATTTGCATAATAATTTTGATATATTGTCATGCAATGTTTTGATGTTGCTGTATTGTTATAAAGTAGGTGTAATTCATCACTTCTGCACCATTCTTTATTGCAGGTTTTAATGTAATTTTTATAGGTAGAGTGTCATTTTTGGGACTTAATACTTATTGTCATTGTGCAAGAATTAGCTGGACATGTGGCTTTCATTTCTCCACATAGTCAAACCGTTCATGCAGAGGCAGATTCGCAGTGAGTTGACAGAGATGGCAGAGATTGCTTCAGTTGAAGTGTTTGCTGCGAACCTGAGGAAGCTACTCCTTACTCCGCCAGTAAGAGGAAAAACCATACTTGCCATTGACCCAGGTGAGCATCAAATTTGAAGAATTAAGACACGTGTGCAACATCTGGGTGTCTTTATTGTAGACATTTTGCCGTCCAGTGGCTTTATCAATACAAATTCAAGGACATATCTGTGTGCGTCTGCAAAGACAGTGAATATGTATGAGTGATGGTGAAAGTGTTGAATGATGATGAAAGGTTATTCTTTCTTTTTGGATTTTTCCTTTATTTTTGGGTCACCCTGCTTCAGTGGGAAACAGCTAATGTTTTCAAAAAAAAAAAAAATTGGAAGACTCCAAGGCTGAAGGCTGATTACTTCATCTTTTGTATATAGTTCTACTGTCTTCCAGTTAAGTCCTAGAATTTGTATTGATAGTCGCTGGATGGCAAAACATCTACAATAAAAATACCCAGGTGTTGCACATGTGTGTTAATTCTTCATCTTGTTGGTATTCTATACCATACACGTATAAGTATCAAATGTGTTAAAAATACATTTGGAACATAGTTTGAATACAGAGCACATGTTCAGAGATAGTGAAATAGATTATTAGTGAGCATAATTACTAAAGTAAGGGTAGTAGGATGGTAGACAGCTACAACCCAGGGAGGTACTACCGTCCTACCAAGTGAGTGTGAAGCTGAAAATGATTTTACATGATGGCAGGATTGCTGGTGTCTTTTTTTCTGTCTCATAAACACACACAATAACAGGTATATCTTGCTACTTCTCTTGACCCTTAGGTCACACTACACACACATGTACACACATATGTACACCCACCTGAGTTTTCTTCTATTTTCTTAATAGTTCTTGTTCCTCTTTATTTCCTCTTATCTCCATGGGGAAGTGGAAAGAATTTTTCCTCCGTAAGCCATACGTGTTGTAAGAGAGAGCGACTAAAATGCCAGGAGCAAGTGGCTAGTAACCCTTTCTCCTGTATACATTACTAAAGTTATATAGAGAAACTTTTGTTTTTCTCTTTGGGCCACCCTGCCTCAGTGGGATATAGCTGGTGCAGTGAAAGAAGAAAGAAAGATTTAGTTTCAGTAGCTTTCTTTGAACTAAATAATTAATTGACATTCTCTAGACTTGCATTCATAGTTGCCTAATGAAAGACAAGTTGTGTTTTGATACACTACTTTATGATGAGAAAACATACATACAGCCTCTCCTCACTTAGCGACGTACTCATTTACCCACGACTCGGACTTATGACAGGCTCTTTGACCAGTATTCATACATAAATAATGTATGTTAGAGCTGATTTCCTCTATTCTGTTTATTACAACATGCAGTACACTACTATATAAACATTTAAAAATATACCAGAAATTCCATAAATGGTGCAAAGGTGACATTAAAACAATATCAAAGATGGATGACACAAACCCACTACCATTATAGTATGCTCCTCACTTACCAACGAATTCGTTTACTGACGAGGTCTTAAGAACAGAACTCCATCGTTTTAGCGAGGAGAGGCTGTACAGAACATTCAGGCACACCTTGAGGAATCATTGACAGTGTCCTTATATTATGTGCTTCTTTTCACCTTGAGTTTTCATATGACAAAAGACTATAAAAAATGTAATATAATTTACAACAAATAAGGATGTTCTAAAAGTGAAAAATAGCTTTAAAATGTTAAAAACATAACTAATATAAATAAATTACATAAATTAATTAGAATAGTATTACAGTGATAACTCGCATATCCGACATGCCATTATCTGAACCTCGTCAATATCCGAACAGGCCCTGGGAAAGGGCAATTTTTACTGAAACATCTGAACGGCTGTTTGAATATGGCAGAAGTCTGAATCAAACTTGACGTGCACTTTAGTGTACCAGTTGGCCACTAAGAGCTGCACTCTTTGCCACCCCTGCTACCCACTGTTCTCAGTCCTGCCATCAACCCTTGCCAATGGCTGGAATCGGCTCCTTCACAGGATCGATCCAGATATTGATTTCGATGGATTTGAGGCAAAACATTTCCATCGCCAGTTACTCAAGGCTGGGGAAAAAACTACAAAAGACGACGTACAGGACTGGTTAGAGTGTGACGAGGACTACCCTGGTGTGCAGTTTCTGACGGATACAGAGATTTCAGAATCAGTGTTGAACCCAGAACATTCCAAAAGTGACAACAACTGACGACCCAATGCCTCCAAGACCAAAAACTTCAGCAGCAAGGGCAGGTGCCGAAACACTTGGAGTACTTAGAGCATCCACTGTCCACAGCCCATTTGAAAAGTTATGGTAGTGTGATCCGTGAAATCTGGGTGACTTATTTGATCCCAGAGTGTCTGGTCCCACTGGCAGACGACGTTGGACTAGTTTTTTAAGCCTACAATGCCGTCGCTGATGGTGATATGACAGGGTACGGATGGCGATATGATAGTACGGATGCTCATTTTTTTCCCCTCACGTATTTGGAAACTCCATGTTTCCGAACCGTTCTCAGTCCATATAGTTTGGATATGAGAGGTATCACTGTACTTTGTTTTGTGAAAGTTCACCTTGTTTATTATATGTTGTTTATGCAAAAATTAGCTTCTAATACACAACCTATAAGTTTGATGGAGGTACACCTGGGCCTGCCTATCTATCTGCCTGCCTGTCTGCCCATGACTCAATGCATAAGGTTAGGTTAAGGATTCCTAACTTTATTTACAAGCTAATAACTCTCTCCCCCCTTTCTCATTTTCTCTCACTTTTTCTATCCCTTTCTCTCCCTTTGTCTTCCTCTCTCCCTTTTTTTTTTTTTTTTTTAACACAGGGTTTTTACAAGGTTAGGTAAAGGTTTCTTAACTTTATTTACAAGCTAAGAGCTGTTACCTACATCAGCTCATTTGAAAGCCTTTATATTGTTATGAAACATACAAATATGGAACAGGATGAAGTTGGAGCCATCCATGGGCCAGCAATTTCATTTGATCAACTGACTTCATTTTGTTGATATCATTATACTGTATGAACATGTTCCAGACTCAAATCATCCTAGGAATAAATGATCTCAGATGTATCGATGTTCTGGAGAAGGGTACAGTCAGAGTGAAGTTGCTGCTTTGCTGCTCATCTTGTTGTGTAGAAGCTCACTTCTCGCTGTCCTCAGAGTGGAGCCGAGTGTGGTACTCTGACAATATTGATCTTGTATATAACAGTAAGGCCACCCACATTTCTTTGGTGTTGAAGGCTCTACTGAAATGACAGAGCTATCCAAGCTGGGTCCAGGAGAAAGAGATGAGTTGTCTTGCTTTGTTAAGAAGTTGCAGATGAGGTGGGGGGCAGACAGTCCAAGAAAGTGGAGCATACTCAAGGTGTGAGCATACTTGTGCCTTGTACAGAATCTTGCAACCTCTACTGTTGAGCAGATGTGACATATATGTTGAAGTGCTGTAAGCTTCCTGGATGCCTTGTTTGCAAGATTTACAACATGGTTCTTCATGGTCAGTTTGGAGTCAAATTTCACTACAGGGATATCAGCTTTGTCCCTGGGTACCAACACTTTCCCATTCATTCTTACCACTGCTCCAGCATTACCATAATGGTGTCTGGAAATTATCATCATTTGCATTTTCTCAGGAGCAAATGTTACCTGCCATTGTTTACCCCAGGCTGATATAGTTGTAAACTGGTTATTGATCTAACTTAGAGCTGCTGGCATTTCCTCTATTGGATAAGTTAATGTTAGAGTACAGTCGTCTGCATATGCATGGGATTCTGGGATAAGGTGAGGAAGGTCATTGAAGTAGACATTCCATAACAGTGGCCCAAGCATGCTTCCCTGTGGAACACTTTGACCAAAATGCCTAGCCTTGCTAGGTGTTCTAGTGGCCCCCTCTGTAATTAGTTTTTTATTACATGTAAACCACACAATAACCAAAATCTGTAAACCCCACATCGTAATCCTTATGGAGAATAAACTTTGATTTGATCTGATTTGATTTGAATAGGATGCCTGTCTGTCTGTCTCTCTTTCTCATATTCTTTCTCTCTTTTTCTATCTTTATCTCCATCTTTTTATCTCTCTCCCCCTCTTTATCTCTCTCCCTCTCTTTATTTCCCCCACCCCAACACACACACACACACACACACACACACAAAACACACCCCACACAACACACACACACACACACACACACCACACACACACACACACACACCCCGCCCGCGACATTCCCAACGCAACTGAGCAACCTAACTACAACCCACTCACTGTTCCCTCTGCCACCAACCCCCAAAATCACAAACCTCACCCCAACAGCTGTCCCTTTCCCCACCCCCACCAACACATACCCCACCTACAACCACAGCCCCATATAGGCCCCCCCCAAAGGGCTCTCGCTCCCCCAACCCCAATATACTTGCATGACCACAATGAAAAAAAGAAACAAAAGGGTTTTGGTACACAAACGCGGATGGAATAACAAATAAACAGAGGAGTGGAATGAAAGAAATCATGAAAAATCCCCAGACATCATAGCAGTCCACAGAAAAAAAAACTCGCTGAGACAATAACAGACACAATCTTCCCCAAAAGGATATCAGATCCTGAGGAAAGATAGAAGGAGTAGAGGGGGAGGAGGGGTTGCCCCTGCCATAAAACACCAATGGGATTTGAGGAAATGGAAGGCATGGACATGATTGGAAAGAGACTCATTGTAGGTACAATTCAGTCCGGGGAAAAATAAAGTAGTCATTGGAGTGATGTATAACCCACCACAGAACTGCAGGAGGCCAAGAGAGGAGTACGAAGAAAACAACAGGGTGATGGTGGACACACTGGCTGAGGTGGCAAGAAGAGCTCACTCGAGCAGAGCAAAGTTACTGGTAATGGGCGATTTCAACCACAGGGAGATCGACTGAGAAAACTTGGAGCCACATGGGGGTCCCGAAACATGGAGAGCCAAGATGATGGATTGGTAAATTTAAAACCTCATGCATCAACATGTCAGGGACACAACCAGAGAGAGAGGGGGGGATGAGCCAGCAAGACTGGGTCTTGGTTCACCCTGAG